CCTGATTCAGCTAGGGCCTTATATATGAGACAGCTGTTCTGTCAATACAGCTGCATGGGTTGGAATGCTAGAATATGAGGGAAATGAACGAATGAAAGATTATGATTGCAGACATGAACTGGGCTTGGGGAATAGTGAGAGTTTCAAGACTCAGCTACAAGGATCTCCCTTTCAGGGAGTGATAATGCAATGAGAAAAGGAGTACTTGTGGCACCTTAGAGACTAACCAATTTATTTGAGCATAAGCTTTCGTGAGCTACAGCTCACTTCATCGGATGAATACTGTGGAATGTGTAGAAGATCTTTTTATACACACAAAGCATGAAAAAATACCTCCCCCCACCCCACTCTCCTGCTGGTAATAGCTTATCTAAAGTGATCACTCTCCTTACAATGTGTATGATAATCCAGGTGGGCCATTTCCAGCACAAATCCAGGGTTTAACAAGAACGTCTGGGGGCCGGGGGGGGTAGGAAAAAACAAGGGGAAATAGGTTACCTTGCATAATGACTTAGCCACTCCCAGTCTCTATTCAAGCCTAAGTTAATTGTATCCAATTTGCAGATGAATTCCAATTCAACAGTCTCTCGCTGGAGTCTGGATTTGAAGTTTTTTTGTTGTAATATCGCAACTACTACTACAATATCCACCTGCGGAAGTGAAGAAACAGATTGATAGAGCCAGAAGAGTTCCCAGAAGTCACCTACTACAGGACAGGCCTAACAAAGAAAATAACAGAACGCCACTAGCCGTCACCTTCAGCCCCCAACTAAAACCCCTCCAACGCATTATTAAGGATCTACAACCTATCCTGAAGGATGACCCAACACTCTCACAAATCTTGGGAGACAGGCCAGTCCTTGCCTACAGACAGCCCCCCAACCTGAAGCGAATACTCACCACCAACCACATACCATGCAACAGAACCACTAACCCAGGAACCTATCCTTGCAACAAAGCCCGTTGCCAACTGTGTCCACATATCTATTCAGGGGACACCATCACAGGGCCTAATCACATCAGCCACACTATCAGAGGCTCGTTCACCTGCACATCCACCAATGTGATATATGCCATCATGTGCCAGCAATGGCCCTCTGCCATGTACATTGGTCAAACTGGACAGTCTCTACGTAAAAGAATAAATGGACACAAATCAGATGTCAAGAATTATAACATTCATAAACCAGTCGGAGAACACTTCACTCTCTCTGGTCACGCGATTACAGACATGAAAGTTGCGATATTACAACAAAAAAACTTCAAATCCAGACTCTAGCGAGAGACTGTTGAATTGGAATTCATTTGCAAATTGGATATAATTAACTTAGGCTTGAATAGAGACTGGGAGTGGCTAAGTCATTATGCAAGGTAACCTATTTCCCCTTGTTTTTTCCTACCCCCCCCCCCCCCGACGTTCTTGTTAAACCCTGGATTTGTGCTGGAAATGGCCCACCTGGATTATCATACACATTGTAAGGAGAGTGATCACTTTAGATAAGCTATTACCAACAGGAGAGTGTGTTTTTGTGTGTGGGGGGGGGAGGGGAAACCTGGATTTGTGCTGGAAATGGCCCAACTTGATTATCATACACATTGTAAGGAGAGTGATCACTTTAGATAAGCTATTACCAGCAGGAGAGTGGGGTGGGGGAGGTATTTTTTCATGCTTTGTGTGTTTAAAAAGATCTTCTACACTTTCCACAGTATGCATCCGATGAAGTGAGCTGTAGCTCACGAAAGCTTATGCTCAAATAAATTGGTTAGTCTCTAAGGTGCCACAAGTACTCCTTTTCTTTTTGCGAATACAGACTAACACTGCTGTTACTCTGAAACCTGTCATAATGCAATGAGACTTTGTTCATTCTGATCTGCCATTCCTGGGCATGCCAGATGTGGGTGCTCATTATGAATCTGGCCAATACTCCTTTGAAGACCTATTAGGTACTAGGAACCCAAAGCTTGGGCAGTTAATGGCCTCTCAATCCGAGAACCTTGTATAGAAATGGTCCCTCTTGTTCCCAAAGTCCTTTACAAAACTTAGCTAGAGAAGCTGGAGCTCATCCCTATAGCTCTTGGAACGACTATGTAGGACTTTCTACTCACAGCCGTTATGCCTGTCTCTAAGGTCCCCTGTTCCCTTCCATCTACCCTAAACCTCTCACCTCAGGACCCGTGAAATATTCTATCAGAAGGTTTATCCACTAAACTGGGAGAAGTAGATATGCTGGAGGGTAGGGATAGGATACAGAGGGCCCTAGACAAATTAGAAGATTGAGCCAAAAGAAATCTGATGAGGTTCAACAAGGACAAGTGCAGAGTCCTGCACTTAGGATGGAAGAATCCCATGCACTGCTACAGACTAGGGACCGAATGGCTAGGCAGCAGTTCTGCAGAAAAGGACCTAGGGGTTACAGTGAACGAGAAGCTGGATGTGAGTCACCAGTGTGCCGTTGTTGCCAAGAAGGCCAATGGCATTTTGGGATGTATAAGTAGGGGCATTGCCAGCAGATTGAGGGACGTGATTGTTCCCCTCTATTCGGCATTGGTGAGGCCTAATCTGGAGTACTGTGTCCAGTTTTGGATGTGAGAAAATTGGAAATCGTCCAGCGGAGGGCAACAAAAATGATTAGCGGGCTGGAGCACATGACTTATGAGGAGAGGCTGAGGGAACTGGGATTGTTTAATCTGCGGAAGAGAAGAATGAGGGGGGATTTGATAGCTGCTTTCAACTACCTGAAAGGGGGTTCGAAAGAGGTTGGCTCTAGACTGTTCTCAGTGGTAGCAGATGACAGAACGAGGAGTAATGGTCTCAAGTTGCAGTGGGGGTGGTTTAGGTTGGATATTAGGAAAAACTTTTTCACTAGGAGGGTGGTGAAGCGCTGGAATGCGTTACCTAGGGAGGTGGTGGAATCTCCTTCCTTAGAAGTTTTTAAGGTCAGGCTTGACAAAGCCCTGGCTGGGATGATTTAGTTGGGGATTGGTCCTGCTTTGAGCAGGGGGTTGGACTAGATGACCTCCTGAGGTCCCTTCCAACCCCGATGTTCTATGATTCTATGATTCCATTGAATGATTGTATTATTAGACGGGGTTTAACTGCAAATTTGGTAGACACTTTACTAGTGTCTAATAAGTCTTCAATGTCAAGTGATTACTATAGGAGGGAGCAGCCTTATAGCCAAAATCCAGCCATTGGAAATATTCATCTGTCAGTACTGAAATGGTGAAAAGGAGCAGCCTGTTAACCCAGACTGGAAGAGACTCAACAAATTCAGTGTACAAATGAGAAGAGAACTTCATCTATCAGACTTATTATTATTTTTTTATTCATGTTATATAATGCCTAGGAGCTCCAGTTGTGGAATAGGACCCCATTGTGCTAGCCACTATACAAATGATCACTCAAAGATTGCCTCTTCTGTTCATTCCCTCTGAAGTACCTGGCATTGGCCACTGCTAGAACACCGGGTGCTGGGCTAAAGGGATCACTGGTCTGATCCAGTATGGCCATTATTATTTTAAACACAGAACACAAGAAAAGGTCCCTGCTGTAAAGAGCCTAGTGTCTGTTACTGAGCAAGAGTTCTCCTCTTCATTGCCTTGCCCTGGGCTTCAGTGACAACCTAGAAGTACCATGTCCAGGTTTCCATGGCTATTCAGTCCTTGAACTCTCCGAGACCATGAATTAATGGCATTTTTGGTATTTTTGCGTGATATGGATACCTGGCTAGCAAGATCTGAGCTAAGATGACCATCTCATTTCTCATAGGCCACCATACAATTATGATATGTTGATGACTTGCACTCGTTAACCTGTTGAAACCAGTGATGTAGAGGTTAAGCATTCTGTATCTCATTACCAAGTACCCTGAACTATCCATCTCCCACAAGATCCATTAGCAGTTTTTACTTTTTTCTTAATTTCCCAGAAAAGATGGGCAAAATAAATTATCTACCAGTTATTTTATACCCAAAATCCTTATCTGTTCTAATCTTTCTTCATGTGTTTGTTCTTTTCTGGAACATTTGCTCTCGCTTCCCTCCTTTCCTAATCTCATCCTCACCAGATTTTGTTCACTAGCACATGACAATGTCTGGAATTTTAAACAAAGTAACCTTAACACGGCCCCAGTACCACCCTTCTTTCCTATCCTCATCCTTAACTGTTTCATTTCACTGACACCTTCTATATCTATTCCCCAAGCCTTTTTGTACTCCGTTTCAGTAGTTCTCCCTCCTTTTATGCTGTCTACATTTGTAAATTGTGTATCGATACAGTCTTATGCCTGTCTTGAAATCCAGAATGAACTCTACTATCTTTTACCCCTATCTTCTGGTCCGGTTAGAGAATTCAGGCAAAGCAGTGAGAACAAACTTCAATGAAAAGTGTATTTACCTTGCTTTATTTACCTAGGCTGGTTATATTTTGCATGCTGTATTATAAATCAGCATCACTACAAAGATGGCAATTACACCTGCAGTTGTGAGTCAGAACTAATTCGATGATAGGAACAGACCTCTTGCAGTGTTCTAAGCCTTTATAACATTCTTGTATGAAATGTATGTTCTGCTGTTCACTTTATACAAGTATTGTATGTTTCATTAGAAGTTATTGAACAGGACCATGTTTGTCTTTTGAGTTTGATTTCGTGTCTGTGGTCTTCAACGGTATGTATACACTGGAATAAAAGACCCACGGCATGACTGCGGGCTCACGGAGCTGTGTAGACATTCAGGCTTGGCAGGAGCCCAAGCTCTGAGACGCAGCGACCGGGGTGGGGGCAGGCAAAGCTTGGGCTCCAGCCAAGGTCAGACATCTACACAGCAATTTACAACCCCACAGCCAAAGCCCCGCGAGCCTGAATCAGCTGACCCCGGCCAGCCACGGGTGTTTAATTGTTGGGTAGACATACCCTTAGTCTTCATACTTCTTTGAACTGCTTGTGCGAATGAACATTGGCTGGAGTCCTAAACCTTACAAATACTTACTTATGTTTTAGATCACCCTCCAGGTCTTCAGAACCATTCAAGACTTCGAACTCCTCCACCTCCACTACCACACGCTCACACGCCAAATCAGCATCAAGCAGCCTCAATCAACTCCCTAAACAGAGGGAACTTCACGCCACGTAGCAACCCCAGCCCTGCTCCTACTGACCACTCTCTTTCTGGAGAGCACCCTGCCAGCACCCAAGAGCCAGCCCATGCTCAGGACAACTGGTTACTCAACAGCAACATCCCACTGGAGACTAGGTAGGGTTTTTTTTTAGTTATTTACAGTATTCTATATTCAGCTTAGTGTATGCCATAGAAAAATAGTAGAGAGACAAGGTGGGTGAGGTAATATTTTTTGGACCAACTTCTGGTGGTGAGAGATAAACTTCCATGCTTATACAGAGCTCTTCTTCAGGTCTGTGTAAGTTCAAAAGCTTATGTGTGTCACCAACAGAAGTAGGTCGAATAGATGAGATTACCTCACTCACTCTAATATCATGGGACCAACATGGCTAGAACAACACAGTGTACATGGAAAAATATGTCTGTTTAGCCACCGGTTCAGTTTGTGAACTGATGTTTAATTTATCCATTCCAAGTTGTATGTATTATTCCTCCTGTCTTTTATTTGGACTAAGAGAAGAGGAAATTGCTCTGCTTCCATATACTAAAAATATCATTGGTATTAACAGTGGCTTATAATTTTTTTTCCCCCATTTAAAATTAAAACCAGAATCATAGATTAAAAATGTTTATTCTTAATGTATTTTCTTCTTATGTGGTGGGATAAATCAATATCCTATTTATGAAACTGAAATCAGTCAATATATTGAAAAGATTTAGCCTTCTAGCTGTGCCTCATCCAGCAGATAATTATTGTAATATATAATGCAGGAAAGGTTGATCTTGTTAGACCTAATCAGAAAGGGGGGAATATGTTGCTGCATTTTACTATCCTCCAGTATTGCTTGAAGCAGTATGGAACACTGAATGGTGGCACATGAGTCAGTTAATATTGCTTCCATTAACTTCTCGTGTTCTTTTCCATGTGTCTCCTGCCTTTCTGGTACTGGATAATTGTATGTCTCAGTATCGTCCTTATTTATCCTGAGGAACTTGCTCCGTTTAAAATGTTTTTTCCTCAGAAAATTGGCTAAGATTTCAGCAAATCTCTCAAAGGTCTAAGAATGAAAGCACCAAGTTTCGTGGAAGTGATGGCAGGTGGTCTTATTTGGATTTACATCTAGACAATATTGAAGTTTCATATTTATGAAGAAATAAACTTTCTATAAATTAGAAATGGTCTGTAGATCTGTGTGGTACCTGGTAACAGATGTGCTCCTACCTTGTCCTAAGAAAGTACACACAATGGATAATGTGTAAAATTACCCACTCTTTGCTTGAAGAACCACAAACATAAACCTTTATGAATTCAGTTTAAGAAGGGCTTCTTCACAGAGTAACAAGAACGCTAAAATGAGGGTCAGATCTGTCTATAATGCATATAGACACTTACCATTGGACCCCACATAGTCTTAGGTTGATCCATAACCTTTGACTCTCTGTGATTTTGCTGGATATTCTGGATATGACTGAATTAATAATAGTATCCCCTGATGGTTGTTCATGCTCCCTGTCGTATTCCCCTGCAGGATATGCTACACACCCGTAACTACTTGGATAATGAAAAGGATGCTCGCTGGCATTATTTAATACCAGGCTGATTAGACCTTCCTCTCACCTGCTCTTGATATTTTGCTGCTGCAGCTTCTGAATAAGAGATGAGGCTGCCAGCTCTCTTGCCCCTTTCCCACTGCTTGTGTTCACAGTGGGAAGAGAGACACCGGTGAGAAAAAGTGAAAACACACACACCTGAACACACCCAATCTTTCTCGCATAGACACACCCACATACAATGAATCCTGAATATGTGCCTGCACTCACATTAAGGGCTTGTCTAGACAGTGAGTTAGTGCATGGCAAGCTGCAGTATAAATCCACAACATGCTAGCCTGCTGCACACTAATTGGTTGTGTGGGCCCTGATACCACACAGTGAAAGTTCCGTAGTGTTCTTTGGTCGACTTTTATTTCAAAGGAGAGTAGATCAAAGTGCCGTAGGGAACTTTTAGTGTGTAGTAGCAGGGTCCACATGGCCAGTTAGTGTGCTTTGTTTACACCCCAGCTTGCTGCACACTATCTCACTGTGTAGACATGCCCTAACACACACTGTCTATCACAAACAAACATGCACACAATTTTTCCAATTAACCAATTCTCTGCCCTCCCCACCATATCTGTTTGCTTCTAAGCTGGGGCTCATTATAGTTCCTCAACCCCACTTCCTCACACCTGGGCCTCCTCAGCAGTTTTGACTCAAGACTTCCCCTGATGACAGATGCCTCTACTCCTGTTCAGCTTACAGAATTACCTCCTCGTTCTCCAGAGATTGCATTCTTCCATTCCCTTTGCCCAAGGAGAGATCCACTGGAGCCCCAATTTGGTCCCAACCTTGATATCTGTTTCTTCCCCTCCCTAGGCCTGAGGACGTGTCTTCTGGAGCTAAACTGGGGCATATAAATTCACTTAACTGCCTCATTTGGGATGAACAAACCACCAGGATAGATTCCAGACAGAAAACAACATTTACTAGATCCCAAAACTGAGCTAAGGGCCAAATTTGTCAGTCCATTACATTCATGGACTCTCATTGAGATCAATGGGAGCTGTATGCATCCACTCTAGGGCAGAATCTGCTCAGTTGAGTCACCAAAGCAGCACTGCTGAGAACATTGTTTTTAAAAGCAGGTGCATATTTTGATCTATCTGTGTCATAAATATAAAGGGAAGGGTAAACCCCTTTGAAATCCCTCCTGGCCAGGGGAAAGCTCCTCTCACCTGTAAAGGGTTAAGAAGCTAAAGGTAACCTCGCTGGCACCTGACCAAAATGACCAATGAGGAGACAAGATACTTTCAAAAGCTGGGAGGAGGGAGAGAAACGAAGGGTCTGTGGGTCTGTCTATATACTGGTTTCTGCCGGGGATAGACCAGGAATGGAATCTTAGAACTTTTAGTAAGTAATCTAGCTAGGTATGTGTTAGATTATGATTTCTTTAAATGGCTGAGAAAAGAATTGTGCTGAATAGAATAACTATTTCTGTCTGTGTATCTTTTTTGTAACTTAAGGTTTTGCCTAGAGGGGTTCTCTGTGTTTTTGAATCTAATTACCCTGTAAGATATCTACCATCCTGATTTTACAGGGGGGATTTCTTTATTTCTATTTACTTCTATTTTTATTAAAAGTCTTCTTGTAAGAAAACTGAATGCTTTTTCATTGTTCTCAGATCCAAGGGTTTGGGTCTGTGGTCACCTATGCAAATTGGTGAGGCTTTTTATCCAACATTTTCCCGGAAAGGGGGGGGTGCAAGTGTTGGGAGGATTGTTCATTGTTCTTAAGATCCAAGGGTCTGGGTCTGTAGTCACCTAGGCAAATTGGTGAGGCTTTTTACCAAACCTTGTCCAGGAAGTGGGGTGCAAGGTTTTGGGAAGTATTTAGGGGGGGGAAAGACGCGTCCAAACAGCTCTTCCCCAGTAACCAGTATTAGTTTGGTGGTGGTAGCGGCCAATCCAAGGACAACGGGTGGAATATTTTGTACCTTGGGGAAGTTTTGACCTAAGCTGGTAAAGATAAGCTTAGGAGGTTTTTCATGCAGGTCCCCACATCTGTACCCTAGAGTTCAGAGTGGGGGAGGAACCTTGACAATCTGGATAAGAGCCATGTTCGCAGGCACCTCTGAACTGCAAATTATGTCCCAATTTAACATTTTTATGGCATTTCAGTCTAATTGATTTCTCAGGGACTGACTGATTAAGACCCAACTAAGAAGCTGGCCCTAAAAGATTAGGACAAAATTACATGTTAGTACTGTAAATGTGACTTGGCCACGGTTGCAATAATTTTATTAGGGTACCAACTCTGGTGCATATACACTCAGGCAGTGAACTTTACCTGTTGTTTCTTTATTAAGGAAATGTACATCATAGCTTATTCTGTGCCCAATTCTGCAGCCCTTCTATGAGTAGTCCCTTTGATTTCTGTGAGGTTACTCCAGGATCAGGTCCTTAGCTATCAGGGATCTATGGGGGCCTAACCTATTTTTAAACATGCTCCTTCCATATTGTCTCAGGATTTGAGTACATAATATATAACTAAGGCCCTAACTCCTAGAAGAAACTGAGCAAAAAATGATGGCTAAATCGAACAGTATTCAGGTCTAGCAGACTGTACTCATTTTAAAAAAAGGAAAAGGTGGGGGAAAACACCTTTCAGTTGATTTACAGCAGTCCAGTTATGCACATTGTTAGCCTATGTAACCATGTTATTATAATGGCTTTCCTCTGCCCCTTCCCTCTTGCTATTTGTTACACTTCCTTGTTGCATCTTGTCTTAATTTAGATTGTAAGGCCTTTGGAGGAGAGGTCTTGTCTTCTTTTGTGGATGTACAGTGACTAGCACAATGGGGTCACCAAATCTACTTGGGGTCTCTGGGCACCTACTGCCATACCCAAAATAAATAATAACCTGGCTTTGTGGGATCAGTGGTGTAACCTCAGAGTTAAAGGCCCTCCCGTGAAAACATCCCGCTCCTAGATGTCCAAATCCATGGACCATGAGAGAGAGAGAGCGAGCATCAGAAATCTTAACAATTACAGTGATACATGGAGAGAAAGAGAAGTGGTCTGTTAGGTATCTAGAGCCCAGACTATACCCCGTGTTAAACTGAAAACTCTGACACATCCTTAACTATAGCATCAATACTGCTCCACCATAATAGATCTGGTGAATGTCTCTCCAAGTGTGAAGCAGTGTGTTTTATTTACATATTACTTAACTGTCATAGATATATTGAGGAATTCATATGATTGCTCCTAGCCAGACTGGTCATCTAGAATTTACTCACAAGAAGAAGTCTTTGTATGTAGGTTAGGGCTTTCACTTGCTTCACAAACTACTGTCATTGTTACTTTATCCTAGATGTCATCACACTATACATTGACATTGTATAGAAAACAGATTATTTGTTGCAGTTATGTAACTTCTGAAAGGTCAGCTGGAAGGGCATTATATTGCCTTTATAAACAGGTAAATGATTCTATGAGCTGATGCTGCATAACAAATTAGTAATTCAGTTGGTCATCATCAAGATATTATTGTTCCCCCACTAAACAAACTATTTGGATAATAGATATGTTGTAGAACTAGTAACAACATAATAAATAGAGACTGCACTGTATCGAGGATTAGTAACGTGTGGCTCATCTCCGACATCCACAGATCTTCCCTTTACTTCGGTGAGAGTTCTCAGAGACCAGACACCATTGTTCAGGTTTGTCCTTCAGACTTGAGAGCAGAATTCTTCCTACTATGTAGAGTAACTGTGTAGTTCCTTCCCACTGCAAAAATCTAGCTACTTAGGGATCAAAAAGATCAGCAACTAGTGGAATAATAAATAAGTAAACCACAAAAAGTTCAACATTTAAAAAATAGATTCCATCCCAGAGCAATTAATCCAAGAATTAAGACCTTTGAAGTATAGAAATATGGTATTGTGATAATCTCATGTCAAAAATGGAACTGTATTTCTGTTGAATATCCATTTTTGTAATTCCACACTAGCCAGCACAGAGAGATGACATAAAGAGAAAGCTATATCTTTTAAATAGAGACCAGCACAAGCTAGAAAATGTGTATAAAACACTGGATTGCAAACCTCTCCCATCCCAAATTTGAAGGTGTTTGGTTTTGATTTTTAATAACATTGGGACTATTTGCAGAATTCAGATCTGGGTTCAGCTTTTTAATGACCTTATCTAGGGATGTTCAGAGTGGAGGGTTGGGTGGGGACAGGTTGAGTTTAATGCAAAAGCTAACATAAATGCAAAGTATAGGTGCTTAAATCTTACAAATACTATACCCATCAGAATTTCATATGTTGCTGGAAGAGGAGCCCCTCTTCACATCTCCTCCTTCCCTCTTTTTCTTCATTTCTTTTTCCTCACTCCTCTCCCCTTTTCCTCTAGTTCTCTTTCTGCCTCTCTTTTCTCCACTTCTCCAGCCTTTGCTGCTTTAAAAGCAATTTATTGTATGAAAACATCTTTGCTCAGCAGTGAGATCTTACAGGTGAGTCATTTCTCCCCACGCTTTCTCTGCTCTTTATTCCTCCCTTTTTTTTCTGACCTCTCCTTTCTGTTCTGGTAAATGTGACCTTGCAGTGAGCAAATAAATGCCAGCTGAGATAGCCATTTGCTTGGCACAGCTGTAGCTTTAGGGCAATACTAGTCCCAGAGAATTTCAGCTGTAAGCACCGAGGACCAGATTATACCTCCCTGACTCATGTTGACTCAGGATTTTACTCCAGAATTAGCATATGTACCCAGAGTAAACCCCTACTCAGATTAAGTAAGTGGGTAGAATCTGGCCCATAGTAAAGAAAGAGTCCAGTTGCATAATAATTGCCAGTGTAGCCCAGTGTGTGACTGCTCTGTTCCTGACATGCATTAGAAGATCACATAACCCAGTGTTCTCTTCCATTTTATTGACAATTCACAACTGAAATACATGGAACCACCAGTTTTACACAAATTTTAATTATTCATGAACCTTTTCTGATTACTGTGTTGTTAGGTACGTTGCCTTTTATCCTTTAAAGGCTCTATGTGCGAGTGTGTAGCTTCCTTATTACAGTGAGTGAAACACCCAACTTTTCCTGCATTCTTGAGGAAGGAGAGGAAGCAGTAAATACTTTGAGATGGGTTGATATTTCCAGTGCTATGTCTCAGCTTAAGCATGTTGATCCACTTTACTTGAAAGCTATGAATATGAATCACACTCCTGTCACTGGGATCAACTGCAGATCTGTGCTGTCAGTGCAGCCCATAGCCAACAAAGGCAAGAGCTTGAACTAACACAAGTGCTGGCGTTAGCGAGAAGGAGAGATGAAAACTAAGGTTAAGGACACTTCATAGAGGGAGGTTTACATAATGCGGCAGGCAGCACTGAAGTTTCCCTTGGTATAGCCTGTTACCTGAATACAGCTTCTGTGATAGAGTTCACCACACGCCTCTCATATCCTGTAAACCCTTAATCCTGCATAAGTGATAAAGGGTCACAATGCTGATGAGTTTCTCTTCTTTAGTCTTGGCTTGGGAATTTACTGAAGTTTCAAGATACAGACTTAGATTTACTTTTGAAGTTTGAAAATAGAGAATGGCAAAATCAGGGATGGATTTGATTTTGCAAAAGATGAAAAGGATGTTCTTGTGTCTGGTCTTGTGGCACAGGGGTGCAGGCCAGGAGGTCTCGGTTCTGGTTCCCAGCTCTGCCTCTGACCGACTGTGGGACCTTGGGCACCTTCCCCTGTCTGTGCCTCATTTTCTGTCAACTGAGACTTAAGTGTTTGTAAAGAGCTTTGAGATCCTTGATGGTGCTATAGATGTTCCAAATGTAATTATAAAACATTTGAAGTTGAGTGGTTGTCTCTCGGTCACTCCCCATCCCCCCAACCAAAAGTATTAAGTAGTTTAGGATATATGGCTCTGGATTTGGCTGATCTCCATATATGTACAAACAAAACTGGGAAGGGGCAAGACTTTTCAAAACCCAAACCGGGGTATTTCAGACTAACGTGCCATTTGTTTAAGCTATCCATTACCATCAATCCATTATGAGAATTACGGATAACTTATTCAACTTTCTGCCACTCAGTAATTGAGAGAATGTTTATTTAAAACGTGCACATGAAAGAAAACCCAGATATCTCAACTTCTATATATCAGACTAACATTGCCTCACTAAAATAAGTAAGAAGATTAGATTAATTCAGTTGTTAATTACCCAATTCAAAGTGCAAAGTAAGGATTTAAACAAAACAGAGAATCATAGAATATTAGGGTTGGAAGAGACCTCAGGAGGTCATCTAGTCCAATCCCCTGCTCAAAGCAGGACAAACACCAACTAAATCATCCATCTGGTTAAATTTTGGATGGAGATATGTGATGATTAAGGCTACATTTATGTCACAGAGGTCATGGAAGTCACAGAATCTGTGATTTTCCAGAGACCTCCCTGACATTCTCTTCTTCAGCCCATGGGGCTTCAGGACTCTGGAGCTGTCAGGCAGTGGGGCCCTGGCAGGGTTCCAGAGACAGGCGACAGCAGCGACAAGCAACAGGGGGGCCCCTGCAGATTTCCAGCAACAGGTGACAGACTCCTGAGGGGGCCCTTCTCAGGGTTCCAGCGATGGGTGACAGCCTCACACGGGGTTGGGGAGGGAGTAGGATGCCGCGGGCGAGCGGTTGGGATGTACCATTTTCTCTTTGGGAAACATGGTCACCATGCAGCTCCCAGCTGCTGTGGGTGAAGGGAGAACCCCACAGCTCCCAGCCACAATGGTGGTGGGGGGAAACCATGGAGCCACAGCAGACAGGTCACGGCTTCTTTGAATTTTTGTTCATTGCCCGTGACCTGTCTATGACTTTTACTAAAAATAACCATGACAAAATCTCAACCTTAGTGATAACACAAGATGGAACCATGGTATTGACAGTATTTGGGCAGTGAATTCAGTCTTCGCACCTAAACAGACACTGATGCAGACTCATTATTGGAGTACAGCTTTACTAAATTAAGATTTGGTCTTTTGAATCCAGCAGATCAAAAAGTTTCATACATATTTTTTGCACTGTCAGCAAAATAATAAAGAATGTACATAGACATAAAAAACCTAACTTTATATATATATATGCACACAGGGATGTGTGTCAGTTCATATATATGTGTGTATACGCATACTTAGAAGTGAACATTCTTAAATGCTGTATATGTATATGTGTAATATCCTATACATATAAATATATGGTCCATCATTCTAATTCCATGCACAACTGCACTATAACCATTGTGGTTTATAAGATCACGCTTCATAGATGCATGACTCACTGGCTTCATTCATGTTTCCATATGTACGTAGAAACATAGCAAAGCAGACATTCCTAGAGACATTGCAGGACAACCTCATTGAGATGGACATTCTCACCTCCTCCCGACATGACGGTGCTTACAATGATGGGTATGTGACACGTATGTGGTCTTCCTGTTTACTGTACAGTCATTATGATCTTTGCATGAAAGCATTTGGTCACTTCAGTGGCGTTTTAAGGGCAATGCCATTTTTTGCCTCTTCTAACATGGCTTTAAAAAATGAAGTTCCTGAGCTTGGAGCACAGCATCCTGTACATATTAATGGCAGCCTCATTAATATGCTGATGATCCATAGCATCTCATTGGCTTTCTTTGCCATTTTGAAAATCATTTCATTAATAAGATGTATCTGTAGCAATTTACAGTCTTTTATAAACGAAGGTTACTAGGATTTCAGTGAAGACATTAAACTACTATGAGGCTGGCTGAACAATACTGCAAATGTTAAACTGATATTTTCCAGGTTCATTGCCTAACAAATCATCATCAGCTGCAATACTGCTTGTTATATTTGTACACTGCAGATGCAGCTTCCGTGGGGACCAAATAAAGCTGTTGCAAAATATAGTAAAGAAATGAATTAATAGTGGAGACACTGCTGCAAGAATTAAAGTTTTAACATAGATGAATAGTGGAAATAATGAGTCATGCTCTAGCAACCATTATTTTGTACAGTTAATGGGTTTGCCAGAAGTAGCATAAACGTTGTTTTAAAAGAAAATCCACATCACTTTATACTGCACAAATCGTTCCATGACTTTTCTTCACAGCAATGTTTCTGCATGTGAAAGTTTTTCCCTATTATTACGTGTGTGTCTTTGAGATGGAAACCTTGGGCCACATGCTCAACTGGCATAAACCAGCATAACCCCATCGACTTCAGTGGGGCGGTACTGATTTATCACTGCTCAGGATCTGGCCGATAAAATCATGACTAAAAATACTAGTTGCATTGGACCTGATTCTGATCCCACAGTAGTGGAGTTACTCCTGATTTACACTGGCCTAGAGAGAGGAGAATCAGGCCTACCACCCAAGCTACTACTGTTTCTCCTTCCTTTCCCTTCACTCCTGAAGAAAATCCAGGAAAAGAGGGATTCGGGTGCCTTAAAGTTCTCAAGAGCTTTTCCTGAAAATTGTAGTCTTCATTTACAGTTTGTCCTAACTCCCATAGAAATCAATGTGATTCTTCCCTCTGACTTTAGTGAGACTTGCTCAAGGTCCTTACATTGCTGTCTCCCAAGCCACACAAAAAACAAGTAGGCTAAAATATGGCTGCTGTCAAAATGTTGGGATGGAAAACTGGGAACACTGTGACATTTTGGCACCGTGAAACGACCTGATCTCCCTTTTCCCCATCTCCACACAGCAAAAAAACCCCAAAAAACGAAAACAAAACAAAGTTCTCCTGCAGCAATCAGTATATTTGGGTACATTTTCATGTTCTCCACCTCCAACTTGCTCCCATTAAAATTCAATTGAAAGTTTCAGTGGGAACAGGATCAGGCCCTCAGTCCTGCCTGCGTGAACTGATCTGTCCTAGCAGTGCTTGGGATCTCTCATTTCACTGTAATGTGAGCTTTCCCGTGGAGATGTCTCTTTCTGTCAAAGTGTTCTCTGCAGTATTGTTGGCGCTGTGACGTTTTTCTTTTACTCTGTGTGACTTGTCTGTTCTTTATTCTTCTCTTCTGTGCATGGCATCTGTGTATTTACAAATCATTGTGTGAAGCTGCTTTCTTCACTCAGGAAGCAGCCACCGTCCCTAAGCTTTGAATTCTGCCTCTGCTTTTATTTTTGTGAAGAGTCACCTACTCTTTGTCTTTCTTCCCTCAGGCACTTCCTGTTTAAACCCGGAGGCACCTCTCCCCTCTTCTGTACAACATCGCCGGGATATCCCCTGACGTCCAGCACTGTGTACTCACCTCCCCCTAGACCCCTTCCCAGAAGTACCTTCTCTAGGCCTGCCTTTAATCTGAAGAAACCCTATAAGTACTGTAACTGGAAATGTGCTGCTCTGAGTGCCATTATCATCTCAGTCACGCTGGTGATCCTGCTTGCTTATTTTATCGGTAAGCATATTTCACTTTTCAGCCTTTTTATCCTCTACCCTCAGCACCAGTGTTGCTAACATTTGGGAACTGCAAGACCAAGTTGGTTACACCCATAGTAACTAACAAGTAAGACCTCTTGGGGCTTGTTTAGATGGAGAGTTAGTGTGTGGTAAGCTGAGGTGTAAATCTACAGTACACTAGTCTGCCATGCGCTAACTGGCTGCATGGACAATGCAACTGCTCACTAAAAGTTTCTAGTGTGCTTTGACATATTCCAGTCTCAAATAGCAGCAAATCAGTGTGCACTAGGGAACTTTTAGTGTTCAGTGGCCGGGTCCATATGGACCATTAGAGCGCAGCCAGCTGGTGCACTGTGGATTTACATGCCAGCTTGCTGTGCACTAACTCTCTGTCTGACAAGCCCTGAAACCTGTGTAAGCCCATTGACTTTGATGGGTGTTGCAATGTTGGGCTCACTTCATTTAATAGTACCACCAAAGTTTAATAGAACCTATTCCATATGCTGTATGTAAAGAGTTTGAATTGTTCCTTTTTTGCTGGAGAAAGTGTTGGAATCAGCTAGAATGAGACAAGCCCACCTACAATAAAGCATAGTAATGAGACCGGGGTCCCGATTGTGCTCCCATCAAAGTCAGTGGGAGCTGAGTCAGACTCCAAATCCTGAAATGTTGGTCCTGTTCTTACTCCGGCAAAATCTCCACTTGGCTTGGAGCTAAATGTTGCTTGTCTTACTCACGCGAGTAATTTTATTGAAATCAATGGAACTACTTGCATGAATAAGAGGAACAGTCTGGGAGTTTTAGTAGACTGAGGAAATAGTTCAGGGGCTTTGGCTCAACAGGACATTTTGAGGGTTAGTGGAATAAATTAACTTTGAAATACAGAAGATATGGAAAATTTGCTGTCCTGTTGCAGCTGTGCAATGGCATTTTTGTTTGAATTTTGCCTGGTATTACCTTTCATTTCTCTTCCTTCTTCGCTGATAAACCTGGTATTAGTTTATATAGGTTCTTTGCTAGACTCCTCTTTTAAAAAGGCAATGATACAAACTGTTGTGTAGCCAGAGGTGAAAGTGCCTGTTCTGTGTGGCACAAACAAGCTGTTGTCTTGGATTTCACTGTAACTTCCTGTAGGCTAATGATCTGTAAAATATTGCGATTAGAGCTAGCAAATCGTTACCTGGATTGAAAGATTTTTCTCTTTCATTTCATACGTGTATAATTATTACTACAGTTACCACCAATGTTCAGTTTCACCATGTTCCCTTTATGTGTGCTGCTCTAATGACTCAATCTTTTCCACTGCTGACTCGTATTATACTTCAGTCACTTTTGTGCCTGCTATAATAGGAGCAGAAATGATTAATTAACCAGCATTAAATCAGTAACAGTTTGATGGAATGTACAGTCAGTTTTCATCATTTGCTACTTATGTTTGAGCCTGTCTGTCTCATTTATCTAGCATTCTCCTTATGCACTGAACAGGGTTCCATTGGACATTATCTCTCTGTGTCAGAGGTATCTCTTCATAGCTCACTTAAAACTTTGGTATCCATTAATTATGACTGTGGATGTGTATATACTTTTGCTGTGTTACAGACAGGTCAGGAAGGCTGGCTTGCCTCTTAATGGTCTCCTGTTCAGAAAACTTTTCCAGCAGTTTTGAAAAGAGGAGAGTCCTGATTTAATTCATAGTTAATATGGTTAAAAATTATGTCCATGGGTTATGCTTTAGATCCTTTTTTTCCCATTTGGATGAGTCCTGTGGTATCTGCCAAGCACTGTGTGTGACTGGCAAGGTGCCAGGAATGCTGATCAGGTTGAAGTCGTAATTATGGGTCATTATTGCTAATTTCTAAAGGAACTATCAATTATTAAAAATAAAATGCATCAGTTCAGTACAGCATAAACATATTTAACAAAGAGTGTCACTGCCAGGCCCACTGATTTAATCAGCAGGCAAAAAAGCAGTTATTTAATTAGATTTTGATGAAAAAATGTGTTTAATTTGAAGTATAATCAATTATTAATTACTGTAATGAGAGACTCTGATTGGATTTACTAATTAACTCATATAAAAATTATGAATAACCTTTTCATTTGTAATTATTTTCTACATCCTGTCAAGTTGCAGATAAGAATTGTATCACCTACCAAAAAAAAATTTACTTCGACCAACTTCTGACAAGATGGGTTGTATCCTGATCAAAATTATGACGTTTTTAATAACAATGCATTTTTTTATTTTCTGGTCTGTTTACAAAATAAGTGCTTATTTATTGTTAGATCACTGATATGTATGTAGTTTTGTATTCATGCTGAGTAGTAGCTCACTCCTATTGATTTCCTTGAGACTGTTTGAATTGTTAAGGTATTGTTGAACATGAGTAAGTGTGGCAAAATATAGCCCTTATTATGTCTAGTGAATGTTGATAACTTGGCCAGTTGCCACTGGCTCTTGATAGTTAAAGTAATTATGGAAATTCTCTTTTATGACCATTGGCCCAATCCAAAAGAAGTTGAAGTCAATGGAAAGTCTCCCATTAAAGTGAGCAAGCTTTGGATCAGGGCCCATGGCAGTGGTTTGGAGTTTAATTCTCTTTCATCCACCTAGCAGTTGGTACTAATGCTCCAGTCCACTGGGAAAGGTAGTGCATCTGAATGCCATTCACAGCACAGTCCTCCATTCAAATTAAAACAAAAACAAAAAAACTAGAGCCAGAGACTTCATGAACTCCATTAGGGACTTTGCTATTGCCAATATGTTTTACGTGACAGGTGCTCAGATACAATGGTGATGTGCAGCAATACAAAACAGACACACAGATATTAGAGAGACAAGGTGCGTGAGATAATATCTTTAATTGGACCAACTTCTGTTGGTGAAAGAGACAAGCTTTCAGGCTTACACAGAACTCTTGCTTAGGTCTGGGATGGAGGGATGGATAGATTGATCAGCATGAAAACAAAGAGCCATTTGGACCTTTTTGAAACTCTTTGCAGGAGACAGTTGCGTCTTTTAAAACACATCTGTAGCATCCACTATGTCATCTATTTAAGACTGAAAAGCCATAGAGCAGCAGGTGTATTTCCAAAGAGTTTATGCTCTTTAATAGTCTGTGGCTTATTTATCTTGCTGTTCTTTCATTTCAAAGATCTGGGGGTGGGGGGCAATCAGGAAAGAAGCAAGAGTCCATATAAACTTAATGACTGGCACCATGTGTAAACATTGTGATCTAGCTGAAGCTTTTGCAGGATTGAATCACTGGTTTTCAGAGATAATGGCAAACAAAATAGAAAAAAACCTATTAAGCATCAGAGGCTATTTTTCATTGGAATTAACCAGCTTTAAATTCACTTTCTACTATCTTTTCAAATATTCATTGAGACTACACTAAGTCAATTGCAACAATGCACACCAATAGCAGTGCACTGCATGCACTGACAGCTAATGCAAAGGAAGAGCCTTATAGACAAATCCTGAAGACACATCAGAGGCTGGTCTTGTAAGGTGCATACACCAAAGAGAAAACTGTATTAGGTCAAGGCTGCAACATGAAAACTGCTAGAGCAGTGAAATCAGAGCCACTAAAAGGAAAGACTTCGTTAGGCAGCCTGTAACTAATCTGCAAATTTGCTGTTCCTGGAGGTCATGGAAATACATGTTGTGGCTGTAATTTTAACAGAAATTTTCATTTGGGGAGAGTTTGTACTATTTTCAGTTATACAAGGTATGACAGTAACAAGGATGACCAAATCCTATGCTCCAGAGTATTAAACTGTGTAGCTGGTTGGGGCAGTCAGGAAGGAATTTTTTTCTCCCATGTACAAAAAGGTACAAGTGGCCAAACTCCAAATCCTGCCTCTTTTTCTGCAGGCTTGGAGGGCTTTGCTTGCACTGGAACAAGTCTGGTTCCACTGTGCAGTAACTGAATAGAATTTGGGGACCCCGCAAGCCACAGGGCACTGCTCTGTAAGAGCTCCATATCTAGAGGCTTTTAGGGGCAGGGTGGAGTAGATGGATCTCCTGCTGTGCAGATATGCTGCCCATTGAGTCTGCATATGTGGTAGGATTGCCAACTTCCTAATTGCACAAACCTGCACACCCTTGTCCCGCTGCCTTCCCTGAGGCCATGCCCCTGTCCGCCCTTCCTCCAAGACCCCGCCCCTGCTCACTCCATCCCCCCTCCCTCCGTAGCTCGCTCTCCCCACCTTCACTCACTTTCAGCAGGCTAGGGCAGGGGATTGGGGTGCGGGAGGGGGTGAGGGTTCCAGCTGGGGATGTGGGCTCCAGGGTGGGCCAGAAATGAGGTGTTCAGGGTGTGGGAAGGCATTCTGGTCTGGGGCACGGGGTTGGGGTGTGGAAGGGGGTGGGGCTGGGGATGAGCAGGTTGGGGTTGCAGGAAGGGGCTCCAGGCTGGGGCCAAGGGGTTCCCTGGCCAATGGGTGCTGCAGAAGCAGTGCTTGAGGCGGAGGCAGTGCATGGAGACCTCCTGGCCATCCCTGCACCTAGGAGCCAGACATGCTGTCCGCTTCCAGGAGCTGCGCGGAGCCAGGGCAGGTAGGGAGCCTGCCTTAGCCCCGCTGCACCACCCACCAGACTTTTAGCAGCCTATTAAAATCTCCTGGATTGCTTTCAATAGCCCCCAGGAGATCGAGGCCAATTGTGGTAGACTCCCAGCCAATCCAGGAGGGTTGGCAACCCTAATATGTGGTAGGAACAAGGGTTTCTGGGACAGCTCTGTGGAGAAGCTTTGCTATCACTCCACATCTTGGGAGGAAGAATTCTGTCCCCATAGAGATCATAGGCATTAGAAATGGAAAAGACTTGTTAGATTATCCAGCTCTCTCATGTCCACCAGCTGCTTGGCTAGATACTAGGAATGGTATTGGCTTCTAAGTGAATTAGGGATGAAGAGTAGTTGCTTTCATCTGAAACAGAAGAAGTATCTTCCTGATCCAGTTACCAAGCCAGATGGATGTATAATTTGATGTAGT